AATATGTAAAACAGTTGGTATGTTATTTCAGAAAAAGTCCGATTTTGTGTCAAAATACCTATGTTAGAACAATGCTATATATAAATCTAATATATATATCCTAAATCGCGCTTTCGAGATATGAAAAAGAAATTTGAATTTTGTCAATCGGCCCAGTAAAACGGGAAATATAGAACTACCCCATTTTTTTTTTCGCAGTGTACATGGTGTTAAAAATGGAACTATCATGCTACCAGATTAGAACCATCATTTACTTCCAGTTCTGTTGCAGAAAGTCAGTTACAGGATGTCACCAAAATCATGTGTACAGCTTCAGGTACTAATGTTGTATCATATGACACTGTGAAGGTTTGTTACGGAAAGTTCAAAAACAAGGACTATGGCATTCAAGAAGCAGAGCTCTCTGCCGGCCTATTGATTTCGATGAGGCTCGCTTGCGAGAACTTGTGAAAGAAGATCAGTAGGGAAACATTCGAAAGCTTGCTAAGGAGCTAGACTTTAGTGCCCATGTCCATTAGTCGTGCTATGCGTCGCATAAACTTGACGTACAAGTTCGCTGGCTGCCGCTTTAGCCGACTCCAGCAGATCAGGAGAGACGCGTTCGCGCCTGCACTGATCTTCTGGAATATCAACGTAAGGACAAAATTCTGGGCCGTATCGTCATCACTTGTCGAAAAGAGGGTTGGTCTGCGCCCGGTGACCCCGTCGGCAGCGTCGTAAATCGTAATTGGTCTAACAAAGAGGTCATGTTTTATATCTAGTGGGATGGCCGTGGTATTATCCACAAAGAGCACGTGGAAGAAAGGTAAAACTCTTGCAAGTAAGGTGTACAGCGAGATGCTAGTCCGTGTTGACGCTGCTATCAATGAAAAACGGTTTATTACGAAATTAGTTTTCTAAAAGCGGCACTGACGTTTTTCATTGATTGTCCGAGTCCCGGCGTAAAAGGAAATGTTCCGTCAAGATAATGCAAGACCACATGTATCTGCATTCAACGGCTGGACACGAGTGAGTGAGTGCGTGAGTGCACCGCTGTGATAGCTTCCGACCACGGACATGAACCAAACGTAATTATATGCCATCACGGCAGGGAAGACTCCAAAGTAACAAGGCCCAATATTACATACCAATAACAGTTTTTACATATTGATAACTGCAGGCACTAAGCGTTATTCTGGTTATCTGCTTTAAGTTCTGAACATTTTAAACATAATATTATTCACGATTGTTTCTGCTTAGGCAGTGTCTTGAGATTTTTCCTATTTTACCAAGGGCTATTCTGTTTTTGAGTGTGTTAGAAGTCCACATTGCCCAGGCAAAGTCCGCTGGTTTCTTCAAGTGCCAGGTTTTTGTATGTACACAATGGAAGTAATAATGGTCCGTGTCACCTTCCTGTCCGCATTCGCAGAAAGGAGTATCCCTAAGTCTGAATCTGTTCAGGTATACTGGGAATGGTCCATGACCTGTCAAAAACTGTGTTAGGCTAGCACAGCGGGTCTTTATTTCCATGTTAAATTTTGGCAGTAAGCATAATGTCCTTTGTCCTACCTCTGCCTCTGTCCATCTACTTTGCCAATTTTGTAGCAGACTTGTCTGCCACACCCACCATATATCCCCAATATAATTCCCGCAGACTTCTACCTGTTTTCAAATCTAGAGATACACCTTCCTGGTGGTGCTATCTTCCATTTTGCATAGGACTTCCGAAATGAGATTGATCTGTTTTGGACTCGCGGCCACATGTTTTTGGGCCGTTCATTGCTTTGAAAAGCTACCAAAATGATCCCTGAAAATCAGAGATTTGGGTGGTAATAGCTAAAGGTACTACTTTCATGTTTTTTTCCCTAACTTCATTACGAATGTTTATTAGCGGAAAACTTTCGCCACTATCAGATAAATACTGAATTAATTGCTGAGAAACAATTAATAAAATTTCGTCTAGAACGTTACTTACGATTTTTGAAGGACACACATAAGATCGTTATGTACTCGGAATTATTAGTACCTACTTAATAATTACGCTATATTAAGAGAGGGAAGTGAATAATAGTTCATGCATCAAATAAAACTGCTTAAGGAGGACAAGTCAAATTTTCTTTTAAACGTACGGAATATCGTAAATTACTAAAATCATTCAGAAAATGAAGTCAAAAATAGTCTTTATCTCTCTGGAATTTAATAGAGATATATGTAATCAACAGAACAGTTGAAGAAACGGATGCTTGCCTACAATGCAGTTGAAGATTTTATAGGGTTGTCCAAGAACTTCTTGGAGCTATCAGAAAAATCACTCCTCGATCATCAAAAATTAGTTTTTCCAGAATCTTCTCTAGGTAGCAAGAAATCGCAAAACTGCTCATATTTTATATTCTGGTTGCGTTATTCTTACAATTCGAATGCCAATCGATTTAGAATTACAAAATCGAAATTATAATGCACAAAATAAACAAGCACATGAATATACAAACCCTGCAATACACGCTCCTTCAAAAACGAGTTTTCCAGAAATATCCCCAAATCACCAAATTGGCAAGGAAATGCTAAATGTCGCCAACAAGGCATCAACAATTGTTGCCAAGAGCGATCAGGAGAGTTCTTTTGGTTTCAGAAATGAAACAAAATGCTTCAATTGTTTAAAAACAAACAAAATGCTAAGAATTTATTTATTTATTTATTAGTTATAAACATGTTTACATACGTTTAATATGTTCATATTTTTTAATTTAGTTTAGTAATATATACTCCTAGTTTTGATTTAGGTGTATAGACTGAAGAGTCTGACGTTTTTCTACATCTGCGTTTGGTTTTTGAGAGTTCCTGTTTCGAAGCCATCTTAAATACTTATTTTCTTTCTCAGTTCAGCCTTAAAATAGTATACAGAATAGTCATTAAAAGGATTTGATACATTGTTACCTCAGCTTGATTAGGATGCTATGATTTGGCTGTAAGCGACATTTTCCTGATTTTATTGAAAGACTCTTTGTAACATCAGGAGGTATGAACTCTCAGTGTTCTCCTTCCCACCAGAGGAATATTTTCCTGCTGGCTTCCTCGTGGTCTAGTTCAGGTAAATGTAGGAAGTTTTCATCGGGAAAAAAGTTATTAAAAATTATATTAGGTTTTCTTTTTTAGCCCAGAAGGGCTATTAGTCTCAAAACGGCATTTTTTGTTGAAACACTAAAAGCGCCGAATCACTTTTGAAATTGTTGTCATCAAATATCACCGCTCTGTATTTATTTAAAAAAATAACTAATGAAGAATCTGCGTGAATGTATGTATGTTTCTCGCATTGTGAAAAAAATGACGGTGCCTAGAGCCATAAAATTTTGAATAACATAATCCTCCACCCGTACATGGGCACTTGGAAGCCCGAATTTTGAATTTGTTTTATCATCTGTTTCATATTTCAAAAACCTTTAACAAATTTTTGATTAACAAAATCAACATTTCAAAGCGAGCAATGGCAACACTGGGTGGGAAAAGAAAATTTATCTCTAGCGCGCGAGACTGTTTATCGGACATTCTAAATATATGCTGTTTTTAAATATTTTATGATATTATTGTAATTGAATTTTATGTGGTTTAAGTGCGGGGAATAGGGTATTTAATAAATAAAGGCAACACACAAAACCTTAAAAAAAGCCCCTTTGTGAGTAATATAAAATATGAAAGCTTTCAGACTCCCCCCCCCCCTCCAACCGCGTTGCCTTTGTTTAAAGCACAGACGAATTTCTGCTTTATGCACTGACAAAATAGGAAACATAAAACATTAGAGTCGTGTCTGTAAATCACGTGAGCGGTTCATAATGCGACTTTTAGTTCCTGCGCGCTTTTGTAATGCTGGATATTTGCTGCTTAAGACGATCGCTAAGGGGGCACCATTTTCTCTTCCCTAAAGAATAGCTTCAGTTTATATGAGTTAGAAGCTGTGACTTTACGTAATATTGAAATGCATTTTCTGTATGCTGAAAATCTGCATGCTGAAAGTGCTGAAATTTATTTTCAGATTGCTTTTCAGTATATTGTTGCATTCTACGAGTTGGTGGATTTGGAATGATTGATGACAACACTTGATGAGGAATAAAAACTAAGTTTATTCGTCAGTATTCAGTTTCAAAGACTCGTCATACCCATCGAAAAATTAGAATAAACACGCTGAAGTAATCAGCAACACAGCCTTTAGGCTATCATGCTATAACGGTGAAGACTACTTCACGACAGAGCACTAAAGTACAACTCCCGACTCAGGCGATCGCTCTCGAGCTAATCTCTCAGCTCAGGACACTACTCGACTCATTATACTTTTCGCACAGGCAGAGTATTTATAGCTTTTAACCTGCCTTCGAGAGCATTCTGCGGAAAACCGGTAAATATTCGTTCTAGAATGTTCTCGCTCCGTCTATGTCATGTCACCAAATGCGCGATATCGCGCCAGATCTGGCCACCCTTCCTTTCTTTGCCATATTCTAGCAACCCTAAATCCGCTTTGCGGAGAAATTATCTTACCGCAACTGGGCGTTCCGTAACAATATCTAACCGACAAAGTAATTTGAAATAGGTTATTTGAAATGCATTAATTAAAAAGTGTTTGAGCTAAGGAATATTTAACAGCGAGTGCTTGGAATGAATTGCTCATAAAAAAAACTTCATAGTTACCTTATATTTCATCTTGTGAGTAAATGGAAGCTGCGTTACTCCATATTGGTTGTTAAATTTAAGATTAAATGGGTTTTAATTTCTCTTTGATGTGTTATTTCCTCTAAACATCGTAAATACAAATGTTTCCAAATGAAATTTCTTGTCTTGTACATCACCTCATCCCGTCACTATCGTATAATATTTTACAAATTTGGCTTAAATCAAATACTTGAGTGTTTTTCTGTATTTTTAACATAATGAAACAAAAACTTATCTAAAAATTAATTAACCATTACATATTTACGAATACTTTTTAGGAACAATTGTTATATATATATATATGTATATGTTTTGTCATGTAGGCTCAAAGTATGGAACTGCATGTTAGTTATCCAGATCTGCTTCGGAATGATTCTTTTATCGCCAAGCGATACGAAAATGTAAGTACCATTTTTTATACTAAAATTTTCGCAAACTACCTTACCTATAAAGTCTGAAGAATCCGTTAAGACTTTGTACAATAAAATTTGATTGTTTTACAGTTGAAACTTACCAACGAAAGTTATTTCGACAAAGCCATGAAAGTGCGCAAGTGGTCAACTGACAATTTCCTTTCTCAATTGAGAAAAACTTCTCAGAACTACTGGATAAGTGTCTACAGGTGGTCTACTAAAGGCCAAGTAAAGAACTTGATAGAACTGCAAGTAGATATGTATGTTATATTTTATTTACAAACGACTATTGGGTTAGCAACAAAATAATTTCCGTTTGCACAAATACGAGAGCGTTATGTTCGTTTTGTTGTTCTTCTGTCAATCTTATAATCCTTTTTTCCTCTTTTGGGATTGGACAGCTGACACTTTTAGGTTGCTATAGAAACACACGACATGTGCTTTTGTTTGAAACTGTTAGTTTACAGTGAGTTTTAATAAAGTCAGTGTTTGAGGTGCAAAAGTTTGGGGTGCAAAAATAAACATACTCGATATATTTTACTTTTTACTTCCTTGTACAAAGTAAAAAGGAAGTATTGTAATCTCGAAAAGTTTCAGGCAGCATATTTCAACCAAAATATCCATTTCTACCGCTTTCGAATGCAATTTAACGATGTATTTGCGTGATATCTGTAAGTAAGGGCAGAATAAAAGACTCTTTTCCTCCACAAAAAATATAAAACTGCTTTACAATGAATTTTGAAGAGAATTTTTCGTGGCGTCTGTACGAACATATGTACGTACGTACGTATCTCGCATAACTCAAAAACGAGTAGCCTCAGAACGTTGAAATTTTATACATAGGGACTACTCTAACATGTACATGTGCACCTCGTATTTTGGTGCAATCGGCCGCGCCAAACGTATATAAATTTAAAATTTATTTATATATATATCCACTCAGTGATCTCGGTTTCTTTACTCTTATATGTTTGTAAATTGTGCATTTTTTTTTTTTTTTTTTTTTTTTTTTTTTTTTTTTGCTTTAAAAATTATTGAATTATGCTGCTATTATCTTCCGGTTAAGGTAAATCTGTATGCAATATTTTTAGAATTATCAACATTTAAAAGTTGTTTCAGTGCGGCTAAGCCTAATAATTTTGCCATGTCGGCCATTGCTTGTTTACATTTGAAACAACAGAATAGTAGATTTGTTGCCAATTTAGAGAAAGCAAGCTTTGCAGTAACAAAGATAATGCCTTCTTTTATTATTGCGAATTAATCATGCTTAATCCATTCTGGAATTTATTCGAGACAATAAGTGTTTAAGATTTACTTCGTAATTTTCAATACAGACATTTTGAGTTTTAATGTATTTTTGCCTTGTCGTGAACTGAGAACTGAATTAATTGAATGAGAAATACGAATTAATTGAAAATTCGTCTGTGAAAAACTTTTGTTGTTGTTGTTTGCTTAATTTCTTTTATACATCGCTTTAGATTTATTATGGTATTTGAATAGAAAATGTGGCAACGATTAGATAATTCTTAAAATGACATAAATTTTGTGCATTCTGAGTTAAAAAATTATTGAAATGTAGCGCTGTTAAGTGAACCTAGGGCCAGAGTGTCGCTATGGTAAACAAATATAGTGAATTTTAAAGAGTGCATTTATTCTATTGTGGTTTATGCGCTATCGACGAAGTAGATTTAATTCAATCCAATACGTTTAAACGAAATGCAAGAAAAAATGCGTATAATTTAATATTCCGTACAAGGAAGTCATGTGGTGTACACATCAGATTTTTTATTTTCATAAAGACAAGAAAGCGGCTGGGGCTCACAAAGAGATATATGATATTTGTGATGTGTTCTTGTTGCTAAAGCTCACTTGTCCGATCTATAGTCAACCCAAGCCCACGAAATTTGTCAAGGAGCGCAAGTTTAGGCCTTGAGCACCTTTCGGATGACAGTGCGATTTACCTCAGTTCCGCCCCCAATTTTGATAAGCACCTCGGGCGAACAGGTCTCCCACCCCTCTTCTTCTACCACCGGTTTTTCGAGAGGACCTTCGGCTCGCCGCATATTTAGAGTGCCTTCATGCCACACGGACACTATATATTTACACACATCCATGCCTTCTCCGGGACTCGAACTCAAACTCTTCGGCACGGCAGTCAGCGATGTTAACCATTATACCGGATCAGCGGTGTACTTATGATGTCGATTGCTTAACATAACACATATATCAGAATTGTTTTAAAAAATTTAGTTCTGCAGATTTTTCACTTGATGATGACCAACGTTCTGGTCAAGTTAATGATGACAAAATTAAAGCCATAACTGAATCGAATCGCCGCATAACTTCGCGACAGATTGCAAAATAGTTAAATGTATCACACGCAACAATTGCAAATTACATAAGATGTCTTGGACTCGTAAGAGTCTCAATATTTGGCTTCCGCGTGAATTGATAGAAATTCGCTTAACGCTACGAATCAGTGTTTGCGATACGCATTTCAAACGTAAGATAATCAACCCATTTTTGAAACGAAAAATAACTTGTGATGAAAAATGAATAATCAAAAAACATCATGGTTAAAGCCTGATGAATCAACGCAAATCATATTGAAAGCTAAATTGCATCAACAAAAATCATGCTAATTCAGGAGTCAAACAACAAAAATCAGCTTTATATTTTCAAATTTTCAAATTTTCACAGGACTTTGTTTGAATTCTGAATTAGTATTTGTTCGGCGTGTTATTGTGTCTTAAATCAATTTGGTGAGTTTACAAAGATGTATATTTTATAGCTGCGTCCAAGCGACCAAATGATTAACTCAGAATGTTTGCTACTGTGGCGGACCACACGGAGGTAAGAAAATCGTGCCGCATAATAGCAAACTGGTTTATATTACGATTATGGAACCTTTCCTTCTTTACACAGATGTTACTTGAGTTAAATTCCCTGACATCTTTGATCAATTTTCGATTTTGTCTTTTCCCGGTAGCCTGGCAACCCTGCCAAAACCATATAAAATACATTATTTCTAAGTTTATTTGTAGTGATTTATCATGTTGTTTGCCTGGAAATTGTGATTGCAATTTGTTTCAAGACTTCCCTGCAGGAGAAAATCATTCTATATTATAATAAATTAGTTTTAACCCTTCAGGGGGTTGTAAATCAAGTTTAATCTTCAAATCTAATGCTGTTGTTTGATAGCAACATGTATTCTGTCAAAAAAGTGGTGCTAAAAAGGAAGCACAAATTTAGAATCTTTAAACATTAATTAAAAATTTACTCATGTTGCACTGTTTAATTAAAATTATCATAATTAGCAATTTCATGCAACGAACCATAAATTTCCTTTAGTTGATATCTTAGAATAAAATCGCTCCAATTTCATTTTGTAATGGTTTCTATATTTTTAGATGAATATCGATTTCAAAAGCAGCTGTATAAAAAGATAGATTTTGTAATTTTGTACAGCTTGAGGTTTCAAACTCTCTGACCAGCAAAGCCGTATATATGCGGCTTAGATTATTTTTTGTGACATTTTTACGAAAGTATGCATACATGCATCTTGGACTATATCCAAGAAATCAAGGTAATATATTAAAAATCCATAAATCGAGGTATAAAATACCAGGGGCATTTTCTTTTTCAAATCAAAAAACTTCCTCTTTCCCTTGGTAGTTTGCACGAATTTAAACATATTTTCTAACTGGAAGTACAATTTGTCTATTACTACTCTTTGTATAAATACAGGCCGTACATGGACCTTTAAGATCATGATATATATTAGCATTCGATTATGCTAAAATACGAATAATTCTGCATTCTGTAAAATCTAACTTGAAAAACAGATGGACATTTTTTTAATTTTTCAAATATTTCCTCCGGAATTCTCTCATTGGAGCTTTTAAGTTTAATTACAATTTGAAAAAGTTTTCAGAAATAAGTTTACTACAAAAATAAATATGTTTTAATTTGTTTTCATGCTTCATTTGCAGATTTCCCGAATATCCAAACGGATCGTCTGCACAGATTATTTACTACTATAGTTCTAACAGACTTGGTAAAATGATTTTCTTCTTTAACTTTTGAAATTTATTGTTACTATCTTAATAGCTCGAGTTTTCGCATGGATATATAAAGGCTGTTCGGAGATTTTTTTCGGACACAGACGAATTTCATTGTATTTACAGATACTATTTTATCGAAAATTTTTGTGTTTTAAATGTTTCATTTGATAACCCTTATTCTTCCCTATCTTTCTACACCGTAATTTCCAAGACAGTAAAGCATTTTTAGATGTAGCGGAAGAGGTATTTTATCCTATTTCTCTCAAAAAGCTTTTTAAAGTCCAAGGAGGATTGTTTGACGTTTGGACAATCAGCATTTTAAAAATCCAAAAGTGCTAAAAGTCTGTAGTTGATATATCAAGGAGATTTAGAAGGGATGTGAATGAACGGTACAGCCTTGATACACATTTCTTATTCCATTTTTTTCGAAGAAATTAACAGCGGATTTTGAAATGCGGTTCTTTGCTTTGTTTCGAAGCAGTTTTACTAATTGAATGCACTGTGGGTAAAGAGAAGGTATTTCATATTTAAAAAATTGGGTATAAAATATGTTCCTGATAAGTTGACTTTAACAGTTTTCTTCGCTCTCTTTTATTTTTTGTCGTTATATCAAAAAACAACAATAAACATAAATCTCTTAGAAAAACTTTTATCCTTCAGATTCTTTGAACCTTGTTCTAAGTTTTTTCTTCTCTTTGATGATAATAAATGGATCCCTTTTCATTGCTCTCATTTAAATATACCCAAGAATCATCTATTCTGACAACATTTTCCCATTTTTGTCCGAATAATTGTTTCTCATAGAGAATTCTGCATTGCAACTGCTTTTGGAAACATGTCGTGGAGAAAGACGATGCACATTACGTTTTTTTGCTGTTTCAAGACTTAAGTCAGCATTAATCACTTAGCATTAATCATTTGACACTGGGTATTTTAATGATTATTCAACTGTCCTTTGACTTCGAGGATTTTCTTTTAACATTAATGTTCCTACCTTTACAACATTCGAAACATTCTGTTTACACCTTGGATATATATTTTGAATAATTTTTCTCCTTGGAGCCGAACTTTGACTTCTCCCCCCTTTCTTATTGATAATATCATCTATCGTTACATTAGGTGCCGAAAAACCATAGCTTTCACGAAACCTTTTAATAATGCAATACGAATAATTTTCTTCGGGAAGAGCACAAACATAGCCTTCCGTCCATTGCTTCTTTAAATACGCCATTTTGCAGGAAAACACAATCGTCAAATAGCAGATGATAATTTACATTTTAAAAAATGTAGTTGCAGTTAAAACGAAATTTTCAAAGCAGACGACTTTTTTATAGCAAAGAAAAATCGTCTAAAAAAAATGTGCGAACAGTCTCTGTATATACAAAAAAATTTTTAAAAATTTGAAACCTTTAAATCACTTTCTCATAAAACAGGAAAAATAAAATACTGTATACAGAAACTAGATTAAAATTCCGAAACAAAAGTAACACTGCAGAGTAAAATAATTGCCGCAGATCACGAATAAAAATAAAATAAGCAGAATGAAACTCAAACATGGTGTTAAACTTTACGTAACATCATCTACAGCAAGGATGTCAAACTCGCGGCCCGGCCAATATATCGGCAAATAATAATATATAATAATAAAATAACATATCGACGAAGAAAAAAATGAAATGTTTACTGCTAAGTAATTAACGATAATTTATTCAGTGTTGTTAGATAACTCACAGCGAGCTGACACACACACTACTAAAATTACAAATGCGTGTGAGTAGCTTGCGTTCGGCTACCTTCGCCTTTTGGGGGACACGTGCACTCAGAACTTGTACGCATCCCCCGATAGCCGAATGTGGCCGAACTCATGGTCTCAGTTTTCCAATCATAGTTTTGTACGATATATTGGTGCATGCATGTGCATGCACTTTGCTTTATTATTAATTATTACTTAATTCATATTGTTACGGATTTCATAGTTATTTATTTAGTTAGTTTTTTTTTAATTTAGAATTGTAATTAGATTTGCTTCATGTTGCCTTAGCAACGCAGACGATTTTTGAAAAGACAGCTGCGTTGGAAGGTTAAAAATAGAACAGCGCGTGCATTTAATACCTAATAAATAAATATCTCGTAATTGCTGTTGCCATCCACAAAAATCCAGATATTTATAGATGTTTCCAGTATATTCGAGAAATTAATTATAAAGCTTATAAAAGCCGAAAACAAACAACTCATCTCAGTAGTAGCTGTAGATCTAGCGAACTGTTTGTTTACTTAATGCTGTGATTGATTTGTAGCGATTTCGCGGTGAGATAGAATTAGTTTCTCTGTTTTGAATTGATTTTTGCTAAACTTTTGACATTTTGTGATATTGTTAGCATATTTTTGAAAAAATATTTCAGCATTTTGATTTATCTCTTGTGGAAAGAATAGATTTTTGTTAACTTTTTAACGTTAACCGTGTTATTCCAGCCCTTTGTATTCAGTATGTCTATATCAAAACGAAGTGGTAGTAAAATTAAACGAAAAATCGCTGACGAACATAGAATATTCCAAGTAAAATGGGAATTAGAATATTTTTGCTGTGAAATAAAAGATAAAATAATCTGCTTGATATGTAATAATACTATTAATGTACCAAAGTTATATAACATTAAACGTCATTACGAACAACACAAATCTAAATATAACAATTACGAAGGATTAATGAGAGAAGAAAAGTTGAAAGAGCTCAAGTTAGGAGTGAAAAAGCAACAGTCCATGTTTAGTAAAGTATTGCAAGAAAGTGAAGCGGCGGTACATGCAAGCTACGTCTTGTCTGAGTTGATAGCTAAACATTCGAAGCCTTTTACTGACGGTGATTTCATCAAGGAATGCCTAATGAAAGCTGGAGAAATTGTTTGTCCTGGAAATGTGACGGCTTTTCAATCAATTTCATTGCCTCGATATACAGTTGAGGAAAGAGTTACTGATTTAGACGCGAATTTAAGTGATCAGATCAAAGCAAAATCATCTAGTTTCAAAAGTTTCTCCATTGCCTGTGACGAGAGCACGGACATTAGTGGCAAAGCTCAATTAGCAGTGTTTCTTCGTTCTTGTGACAAGAATTTTAACATTTTTGAGGAATTACTCGAACTAATACCGATGCCTGGTACTACCACAGGAGAAGATATATTTGCTTGTGTTTTTGGACTTCTGCACAAATACAATCTACCTTTGGAAAAATTAAATTCTGTAGCTACAGATGGCGCTCCATCAATGACCGGGAAAAACAAGGGCTTCGTAGCATTACTAAGAAAAACACTTAGTAAAATTCACGGTTCAAACATTCATCATATGCATTGTATTATACATCAAGAAGTTCTATGCACAAAAGTAATAAATATGGAGAATGTTTTGTCGTATATAAAAAAAGTTATAAATTTTATAAGATCTCGAGGTTTAAATCAGCGTCAATTCACTGCTTTCTTAAGTGAGTTAGTGAATATTCGGGTTTGTCCTACTATACCGAGGTACGTTGGTTATCTTGCTCCAAGATTCTCAAACAATTCTGGGATTTGAAAGAAGAAATATGTCAGTTTTTAAAAACGAAAAATCAAGACGTAAGTTTGTTTTACGATCTAATATGGATACAAGATTTATCTTTCTTGGTTGATATAACCAAACACTTAACCGATTTAAATTTATCGTTACAAAGAAAAGATCATATCATTGCGAACATGTTTGACATAATTAAAGCATTCAAATGTCAACTAGTTTTTTGGGAAAAACAACTTAAAAATGAAGATTTGACGCACTTCCCGACGTGCAGCATAAAGAAATCAAGTTTAGATGATACTTGTTCGTATCAAAAATACGCAGAAAAAATTTCAAATTTAACAACTGAATTTGAAACGAGGTTTAATGATTTTAGTTCCCTCGAAGACAAATTTTTTTTGTTTTCTTCGATTTTCTCAATATGTATTGACTCAGTACCCAGCCATATGCAAATGGAGGTGATCGAGATTCAATGCAACTCAAATTTGAAAGCAAAATTCATTGAAGTGGGCGTGCCTGAATTTTACAAATATTTACCCGCCAGGTTTGAAAATACTCGAAAATTCGCATATGAAATTATTTCCATGCTTGGTAGCTTTTATCGGTGCGAGCAGTTATTTTCAGTCATGAAAGGTAATAAGTCTCCTATTAGAAACCGTATTAATGATGCTCACCTTGGGTCAGCGTTGAAAGTTATCACTGCAAACAAAATTTCTCCCGAAATAGGAAAGATAATAGCAGAGAAGAGATGTCAAGTATCAGGACGTAAACATTAAATTTTTCTTGCTCTTTTCTATATAAATATATATATATATGTTTATTATTGTATTATTCGAAATAAATCTACGTTTCTATGAATATTGATTTTTTTTTTTGCGGCTCGCCTAAAGTTAAACCTTGTTTGTTTGGCCCAAGTGTACCTATGAGTTTGACATCCCTGATCTACAGGGTTAGGTGTCACTAGACGTGTAGTTATTGTCTCGTTTCTGAGCCATAAAATGAGCAGTTTCATAGTACGAAACGCAATATTTATTAATAAAATAATCTGAATTGTTCATTATTTTACCTATCTTCTACATGATTGTAAACTGCAGAGCAAGGAATAATCATCACTTGGCTAAAATCTAACCATAGGAATTAAAAAATTATATTAGTTTGAGAAATATTAACAATTTGAATTAGTGGACTCAAATTGAAATTCTGAAATAATGCGATTTTTAGATTTAAAAAAATTCTGTTAGCCAAGCATACTGCTAATTGCCTTGAACTAAAAAGAATGAGCTTTGTAGACAAACTTTATTAACATTCTAAAACATTAAATATTCTTTAATAGAAAAATGCCTGCAGCACAGTGCTGTTAAGGAAACTATTCCATACCAAAAAGAATAAACATAAACAAAAATAATGTTGTTGCCATTCACTCAAACTCAATAGTGAAACAAAACAGCTTGCCAGT